AAGAGGAAGAGGAAGAAATAGAGTAGGAGATGAGGGTTGTTAGGAGTCTCTTGGGGCACCCCTGGGGTCTGTTGGGGGCTTCTTGGGGGCCCTCTTCGAGGCCTCTTGGAGGCATCTTGGGGGCCTCCTTGGGCCTCTTGGGGGCCTTTGGGGGCTTCCTGGGGTCTCTTTGGCCGTCTTAGGGCGTTCCTGGTCCGTCTGACGCCGTCTGGAGCCGTCTTGGGGGCCTCTCTGGGCCGTCTTGGGGCCCTCTTGGAGCGCTTCAGGGCCGTCTTGGAGGCCATGTTGGGCGTCTTGGAGGCCTCTTGGGCCGTCTTGGGGCGCTCTTGGGGCCGTCTTGGGGGGCCCTTGGGCCGTCATAGGGCCTTCTTGGAGGCCTCTTGGGCGATCTTGGGGGCCTCTTGGGCCGTCGGAAGGCCGAAAAGAAGAAAACGCAAAAAACCTTCAAAAACCTAAGGAAAACAAATGATTTTGGCCTCTTCGGGCTCTCCTGGAGAACGTCTTGGAGGCCTCTTGGGCCATCTTGGAGGCATCTTGGGGCCATCTTGGCCGTCTTGGAGGGCATCTTGGGCCGTCTTGGAGGCATCTTGGAGCCATCTTACCCGTCTTGGAGGCCATCTTGGCCGTCTGGGAGGCATCTTGGAGGCCATCTTGGGCCATCTTGGCCGTCTTGGAGGCCATCTTGGGCCAAGTTGGGGCAACAAAGGCATTGACAGACGGATTTTGGGAAAATTACGGGTGGCCGGCGGGACGGGCCGAAGCCCACTGGGGAGTTCTTTTAGAAAAAGAACCAAAACCAAAACCTGAAACGTCCAGCACGCCGTGCACCCCTGCAAGCAGGGGGCGGCGGATCCAAGGTCTTCGGCCCATCCCGCCACCGTGCAAGGGCTGCGGTTCCAAGGCCTCTTGGATGCATATGAGGGACTCTTGGGATGCCTTTCGAGGGACTCTTGGAAAAAGGTGTTGGGGGCTTCTGGGGGGCCCACTGAAGCGTCTTGGAGGCCTCTTGGCGCATCTGGGGGGTGGGGGGGGCTCTGTGGTCTCTGGGGGGCCTCTTGGGGCGTTTTGGGGGCCTCCTGGGCGATCTGAGGTGTGGCCTCGATAGCCTTTGGGAGGCTCTTGGGGCCATCTTGGGGCGGAAGGCTCGAACTGTCCTTTCCCCTTTTGGGCCCCTCTTCGGGCCCTCTTGGGTGCCTCTTGGGCCGTTTGGGGGCCCTCATGGGGCGTTTGGGGGCCCTCCTGGGGGCCTCCTGGGCAGCCCTGGGGTGCTATTGGAGGCTTTTGGGCCGTCTTGGAGCGATGGAAGTTGTAACAGGTGAGAAGGCTGAAGCATGTTTCAACACCCACGGAAATTGAATGGCTTTGCCCCCTTGGAGCTTCTTGGGGACCTTTTTCCGCCGTCGTGAGGCCATCTTGGGCGTCTGGGAACGATCCTGGGGCGACTTGGGCCTTCCAGGGCATTCTTGGCCCGTTTGGGGGTCCTCCTGGCTTCCAGAAGACGCACGCGACACACCCCAAGAGCTCGCGGAAAGTCCAGGGATTTCCCAGGAGCTGTTGCGAACCAGGTGTCCGGGTGTCCACTTCGTGCCAAGGGCCACGGTGGCGGAGATAACATTCATGTGCGCACATGTGTATATGATTATGTGCACGTGTACGCTGATGTGAACAGATGCATGCACATGTATACATATATATATATATACATACATACATACATACATACATATGTGTATATATAGATATGTACAAGGCTGCGCTGGCGCTTCGCGCCATGCACCTTGGTCCTTGAGGCGTTGCTTATGTTGGTATTTCGCGCCATCCCCAGTGGCCTTGGAAATTTGGCCCCTGCCCTGCGGTGGTTTTCGGAAATCTTCGAAAGTTCACGCGGTCCATGGCCCTTCCTGGGCCTCTGGGGGCTCCCGAAAGGCGCTTGGTGGAGGGCGAATGATACGCGGGAGAAATTTCGGGGAGCGAGGAGAGGGAAGCGGATGTGGGAGAGGACGAGTAGTGGATCGGCAGAAAGAGGATGAGGAGGAGGAGGAAGAGGAGGAGGAGGAGGACCCAGAGAGGAGCAGAAGCAGGGAAAGAGATGGCGCCGCCGGGGGACGGCGAAGAATTTCGGTTGCGCCGCACCTAGGAATGATCACTCAGGTCAACGGCGATGTTCTCCCCCCGGGTGTTCGATGAAAATATCGCCGTCGCCGTTTTGTTTCATGAGGTGTCCTAGTGTCAGTGGCCGCCGTCGTCGACGTTTTGACGTTTTGTATTGACACTTGGTGTCGGGGGTCATCGTCGTCGCCGTTGTTGTTCCTGACACCCCTTGCTGGCTGTCCCCCACGCGTCCTTTTTGCACGAGCTTGCAAAGTGTGGTGCCCAGGAGCGCCTGCGCGCGCCTTTGCGGATGTTTCTGAGTGCCTGGGGGGCGCGCCTGGGAGCGTTTCGAGGCGCCTGGGAGCGTTTGGCGTTCGCCCGCAGGCGCCCGGGAACTCAGGGTCAGAGGAGGGGGGTTGGGGGGGCCGCCGTGGGCCACGCGGGGCCCGAGACGCCACATGCGATTATTGCTGCGGCCATGCGTGGGCCCCTGTGGCAGTATTGGCCCTCTTGCGCCCGGGAGTTTGTTCTGATGTTTCTTTAGTGTTCGGCGGAGCGTCGTCGCTGTTTCATGACACCCCTTTCTGTTCGGCGGAATCGTCGTCGTTTTTGGAGTGGCACCTCCTAGTATTGGCGTTGTGTTTCGCAGTTGTTTTTCAACACCTCCCCACTGAGTAATTTCATAATGCTCAGAGTAATTTCATAATGCTCATTACCCTCGTCAAAGAATGTAGTCCGTTGTACATGACACTTTGATGTAGTGTGGCCGGGATGATGAGGAATGGCACGCCACGCGAATGAACGCCAAGCAAATTGACGCAGTGTCAAGCAATGCCGCAAAATACAAAGCAATACCCAGCCGAGGATGTCATGTTGCAGCGGGTCGCAACGGGACACGCGAAGGTAAGTATTTCTTGCAGAATGCACCGAAATCTGGGTTCGCAATAGATGTTGCGAACCCGGGATTCGAATCAGTTTGATGAGTCAGAACGCCGTGTGGGCCTTGTTCGAGCCTTGGTGTGCAGGTTTGGGGCCCTCTCGAGCCTTCCTGGGGCCATCTTGGGCCGTGTTGGGGAGCTTGGGCCTTCTAGGGACCTTACGGGGGCTGCGTGGGCCTTCTTGGTGGCCTCCCACAGCATTTTAGGAGGCCGCCCATGGCCTTCTTGGACTTCTCTTAGAGGCCTGGTGAGGGCCTGTTGGGCTTCTTTTTGGCCCATTTGGAGTTTCCTTGGGCAGTCTTGGGGCGATACCAGTGGCCTGTTTGGCTGTCTTGGACGCTGCTAAGACCCGAACAGCGATTATGTTGAAAATATACGTTTCGCGAAGGGAATGAAGCGAGTTATGCGTTCTGGGAGTCCTGTTCACGGGATCTTTGGGCCGTTTTGGGGGCCTCTGGAAGCCATTTGGGTCCCTCCTGGAGCGCCTTTGTGTTGTCTTGGATCTCTCTTCTGCCTTTCTGATCACCGCTCTCATCGCTTGGGGTCTGCTGGCAAGACCCGGCTAAGCGCCCTGGGAGGTCTGCGGCGAGCTGGAGGACCTTTGGCAAGGGTGTCTGGGGGGACCAGAAACCCCGGATGATGGGGGTCCGGTTTTGGTGTGAGGGTCCGGTTTTGGTGTGTGTGGGGGGGTCCCCAACCATCGGCTTGCAAAAATATAGTAAGAGGAATACATATGTATATAGGTATAGTTATATACATATATATATATATATATATATGCAAGACTGCATTGGCGCTTCGCGCCATGCACCTTGGTCTTTGGAAGTTTGGCACGCAGGCGGGATGGCACGATGGTCAAACCGACAATTTAGCGATAACTCCTTGTTACCTTTTCCGGTATCGCCGTTTCAATCATGTTATAAGTTTGTCTTTCTCCATGTTTATGTTTCCTCAGTCTCGGCATACCCTGCGAATTCTCCCCATCCGCCTCAGCTCTTTTTGCGGAGGCTCCTCCTTGCAGAGCCTCTGGGGGCCTCACAAAAGTTGTTCAAGCTTGCTTAAGCCCTTCTAGAGGCCTCCTGGGCGGCTTCCTCGGGCCACCTGCCTCCAAAGGCGGTCTCCCTGAACGACCAGGTCACGATGCGAAATGCTTCCGAGGGTGTCTTGGGGCCATCTTGGAAGCCTGTTGTACCGTCTTGGGACTCTTGGACTGCCTGGAAGCCCTTTCGGATGGTTGTGGGGCGATTTTCGACCAGAAGACCGCCGTCTTGGAGCGTCGGGAAGCCGAAAAGAAGAGAACCCCCAAATTCACCAGAAACAAACAGAGAATCAATGACTTTTGCCTCTTGGGGCCTTCTTGGGAGTGCTCTTGGAAGCCTCTTGGGACGTTTTGGAACGATCTTTGCGAGTATAACTGCCTCTTTGGGGTCGTTGTGGACCGCCTTGGGGCTCGCTGGCGTCGTTTCGGGAGCGCGCTGGAACGCATGAAGTCTCGTGGGACGTTTGGGAAGGGCGTCCAGGGGCCGCAGACACGAAACAGGTAGGGAAATCCGCGGAGTCCCGGGTCTCCGAATCGGGGATTCCAGGGAGTCCGGTCTCCCTGGGGGGGGGTCCCAGCCCCCCGGATTGCAAAAGTATAGAAAAGGGAATGTGCACATATATATATAAATATATATACATACACATACATACATACATACATACATACATACATACATACATGCATGCATGCATACATACATACATGCATACATACGTACGTACGTACGTACATACATACATACATACATACATACGTACTTATCCACCTACATACCTACCTACCTACGTACGTACGTACGTACGTACGTACATACATGCCTATATACATATTCGCATGCATGGCCGACAAATCATACATACTAACATGCACATCTCTTGTGTGTGTTTCCCATGGGCCGCGCCCCAGGGCCGCCCGCCCTTTTCACACAGGACATCGTGGCGCTGATCGCCTCGAGCTCCCCAGGGATCTCAGGCGAGCTCGTGTGAGGTTGGGGAGAAGATGGGGGGAGCAGGAAGAAGAGGAGAAGGAGGAGCATTGGAATGAGAGGATTGGGAGGAGGAAGAGGAGGGGATGAGCATTGGAATGGGAGGCAGGAAGGGAGGAGGAGGAGGAGGAGGAGGTGGAGGGAAAAGAACAAGGAGAAACAGAACAAGAGGGAATAAAGATGAGGACGTAGGCATGGGGGAAGGAGGAAGGAAGAGTAGAATTAGAAGGAAGGAGGAAGGAGGAGTGGCAGGGAGGGAGGGAGGAGGGGATGGAGGAGTGAGGAGGGGTCCTTCGACGAGCTCCACCGATGTGAAAACGCCCACCCTCGGCGCATGACCAGATTCCGACGGCGACCATGGGAGGACTTCGCGCGGAGCCTGCGCTGACACATGCGGGTTGCGAGTGGCATCTTCCACGGAGCAGGTCACGCGAGACTCGCCACGTAGTTCTTGGATACCTTGCACCAGCACTAGCTCGCGGGCACGAGCTCTGGTCGATTATGTGCGAGCGTGCACGCAGACAGCTGCCCTGGTGTAACACCAAGCGATTTCTCTGCAGTGGTTTCCTCTGTCTTCGTCGCACCCGCATTCGTGCTGATCGGAAGCCAGTATGCTCCTTCCTGCCTGTACCATGCGGTGCGATTTTCACTGGTGGCGATGCCGTCGATTGAAATCCAGTGGAGGCTTCCAGTGGATGTCGATGCCTGCGCCATGCCGTGGATCGATTGAAAACCACACGGCGAACGCGGGCATCTTGCGACAGCGCCTTTGGCCACTGAGATCCAATCGTATCCGTGCAAGCGGCGGCAGTCTGACCGCTCCCACTTGCATCATGCGTTGCGACGTCCAGCGGTGGCGATGGCGGCAAGCCGTGGGGTGAAGGCGATGCTGCAGGGAGGTGCGGAGCGTTGCACCACGGCAGACGTGCTCGTCACCGCCTCTGGGAGAAAGCATTCGCAGTTGTGTTCGGGGAGCACTGGGCATGTGTTGCAGCCGTGCGCAGGTAGGGACAGCGGAGAGCAGAGGGGCACCTCAGACAAATTAACCCAGCAAAGCACCCCAAAAAGCAGCTGAGGTGAAGAGGCGGGTCGAGGAGTAGGGAGGTCGGCCAGTGAAAACGTGCATTCCTGGGTATTCCCAGGGATTCCAGGACCTCGACGATTCGGGACACGGGTGAGAGCACGACCACGTGCACCCTGGTGCACGTTCTATCAGGGGTCCTGGCCGTCCAGACCAGAAACGTAGCCCGCACGGAGGCGAGGGCACGATTCATGAATACATTGCGAGGAAGAAGTGTGAGGCGCAACTGCTGCCGGACTGGGCGACCTGGGCAGGCTGTCCCTGGCTTCCCCGTTCCCTCTGTGGGACTCCTCCGCTACTGGAAGCCCTCCTCTCCCCCTCCTTCTCCTCCTCCTCCTCCTCCTCCTCCTCCTCCTCCTCCTCCTCCTCCTCCTCCTCCTCCTCCTCCTCCTCCTCCTCAGCCCACTTCAGCGTCACCCCACGTCCCCTATGCCTGCATGTCAGCGTACCCTTTTTCACACATACCTGCGCACATGGCACGAGCGCGGTGGGCACTCGTCTCTTACTTGCATTGTACTCCGCCTCATGGTCTAGCATTATTGTTTTGTTTATTCTTACAATTGTTGCTGTTTGAGGCAGCACGATCGATTTCAGGATATCAGTACGCGCTTGCGTTCCAGCGTTCTTCGCCTTCAAGGAACTAGTCGCCGTGCTCACGAGTTTGATCCAGGCGACACTCACAGTTCTCGTGATTAACATATCTTCAATGTTGGGTCCCATGCCAAGCACGGTAACGCGCACACTGGTGTTACTATCGCACTGTCGGCGCGCAGATTCTCTCGCAGCAAGTTCATCGCTGTCTCGCATCCCAAGTCTATGGGGTTATGGGGTCGCGGAGGCGCCGTTCGATGTAAGAATCGCCACGCGGATTTCACATTCACACCCGCCTACTTCCCCCCGAACACTGACACCGCTAGAAATTGACGCGACTATGCTGGCACACTTCGTTGGCTGGAGGAATTGTATTCATCACTGTCATCTCTCACGTGGCCGATTCTCGGCATTGACTCAAATGACCACATCGGGTTCGTGAGAACTCCAGCGGGCCACACACCATCGGATGATACGTGCACTGGGCCATTCAATCAAAGTTCAGCAACTTCGTATTCAACAGTTCATCGACCTCCTGCTTCAGCATGGTTTGATATTGCTCAACATGTTGTATAACACATGCCCCACCTATTATCATGGCGTGGCGGGCAGCACCAGTTACATAGACTACATAATCATTCCGCGCAGCTTCTATATTGCTGGCCATGTTCGTAAATGCCAGAAGTTTCGACATCTCGGAGACCGACTTCAACTCGTTCAAGCTGCCAGGCGCATTGACCATCATCCTGTATGCGCTCTCGTTGAGAACAACTTACGCTATGAAGGCGCCGAACGCGATCAACGTGTTCGGTGGGATTTCGACGCACTGGTTCGTTCATGGCTTCAAGGCTCCCAGCGCCAGGATTTCTTACGCGCTCTTGACCAATGGGTTGTGTGTGCAAAGCCAGAGCCTTAGATTAGTCATCAACCTCGCCCTTTTCTTTGTATAATCAACCGGGAAACTTCCTTTCTCTCCGTTTGTGCTCCTCGGTGCGCCGCATTCGGCTCCCCATTTCTCAAATTCGGCGAGAGTTCTACGCTGACCACGACAATCAAGTTCACGTCGACTATCAATGCTACCCTCTTGGAGGATACGATCTTCAACAGACGCGCTGGTGGGTCAGGAAAAGTTCTAATCGCCGCACTCCGCCAGCTTGGGGCGTCCCCAACGAGGTTTGGAAGATGGTTCTATGGCCCCAGAATGTTTATCGGGCCGAATCGCATGGACTTGGCCACGATCGCGCACTGTATCAGCCGACCCTGTTTCTCGATCGCCTTCGATGCACCGTGGAGATCATACGCGCGACAGGACACAGTCAAGTTCAATTTGATCGCAGCCAAGGGCTTCAACTTCCTAGAAAAGATGACGTTCGCATTGTCCACAGCGCACCTTCATTCTCAACGGCCCACCGCAGGAGTCTACGACGGCCAGGCAAACCTCATAGACCACCTCCTCATCATGCATGTGCAGTCCCAGGCCGACGTCGCGAAGCAGCAATATTTACCTAGATGTTCATCTCACACTGGTGCGCGAAGAACGGCCCCAGCATTGCTAACCACCACTACGACGTCGTCAACGCGTTCGCCCCCCCCCCCCCCCCCCCCCCCCCCCCTCGCACGACATCGTGGACGATGCCGCGCACCACCTCATGATATATGACAATGACGAACTTATCGACGAAACCGCAGCCGAGACACCAGACTACATTCTCCGTCAGGACGAACGACTTCTGCGACAACACCACAGACATTCTCACTGCGCACTACAGGCACGCGATAGCACTGCCGAATACCACCCTCAGAGCGGCACGCCCCAAGGCAACAGCGCGGCTACTAATGAACTTCATGTTCCGCATTGGCGCGCCGTTCGTCAATGGAGTTCGCGCACGCGGGATCTTCAAATTATTGGTCGATCTCTTTTTAACGCCGAAGAAGTTGACCTATCCATCGCATCGTTTGTCGATGACCTATGCAAACAGTTTGTGCTTCCTGACCCGACAGATTCCGAGCGTTCACAGGCAGCGCATGACGCTTTTCTGGGCCAACTTTTTGCGCGATACACCACCTTGCAGCACCCAGGTAAGAGCGAGCATACGGCTCGCTTCGTCGGCGCAGGCGCCCGCATTCATCAGCGACGAGCACATGCTCATTCGGGGCTGGGCACTGTACCTCACGCTGCACGCTATCTTCGGCCTAACTTCACTACAAGAATTGCTTCTACGCCGAGAGCAACCTCCGCATCCAGGCCGCTAACAAGGCATGGTTCATCTTTCGGCGCTCCTGCTTCACTCGCACTGACCTTCGGTTCCGGGCTCTGCTATTTCGCTGCGCTGTCTGGTCGGCGCTCTCGCCTGGTCTTGCGGCGTTCGCGCTCAACTAGCACGACTGCACTGTCTTCGACAAAGAAACGATTTACCGAGCACGCCAGCTACTCAGAGGCAAGGCTACCATCAAGACTTTTCAGAACAACGGCGCGACCAAGTACACGCCAGCACCTACTATTGAGATATGGAGAAGCATTGGCCTGTCTGACACCACTACTGAGCTTCGCATTCAACGTCTCAAGTGGTTCTAGCAGATTTGCAGACACCCTCTTCATCACCAGCTGCACATGAAAGTTATGCCTGGCCGCTTACCACGTGATGGAGATAATGTCTGCGATCACCCATGGCCCCATCACCTTCAACAGGATATTCAGGCATTGGCTTGTCGTGGGAGCGCGTACTCTCTGGAGGGTGTAACTCCGATTCAACTTCTTACTGCTGGCGGTTCGCAATATGATCTTCTCGAGATCTATGTTTCAGAGCTGCGCGCGAAGTTTATATGTCGCAGCACCCCGCCACCGCCGCATGCGATCCTTCGCCATCATCATGCTCACTACACACGGGTGAACACTACTGCGGTCTCATGCGCATTGATGGTAACATATGCACGCGCACACTCACCACGCTCAAGGCGCTTCGTCTCCACCGCGCACGTGAACAGTCCATGCGCGTTATGATCACACTCGATTCGATCGCCATGGACGCCCCATGTCCGCTGTGATCCACACATGTATTTCGCCACTCGTAAAATCGCCCAGGATCCTGTTCAGCGAAGCTGGTATTATGGTCGCTGCAAGGTCATCAGAGCCACCGACCATCTCCTACCACCGCGTCCGACACTGCATATGCACGTCAGATATGTGATTTGCTTGGCAACACGTTCGAATGCGATGACGTCTATGTTTATCACCATCATATCCGCTATCAACACCTTTCTGGCCCAAGGCGATTCGATTTCTCAGGCATTTCGTCTAATTCGATTACACACATCCCACCTCAGCTTCTGTCCACGGACCTCGGGCTCGTCGCCGGCACAGCGCCGCGGCCAGCGAAGGAGCGCCGCAAGGGGGCCAGTTCGAACGACCCCGCGGCCCTCGTACTTCTCATCGCCAAGCTGACCCACAGCACTACTATGTCGCCACGGATCACACGGGCAACCGCGTTGGAAAATTATCCAGCGAACGAGGGCTCAGAGTTCTTCGCCCAGGGGAAGTCTCCCACCCGGAACTACTCAGAGTCGGCGAAGCAGTTCACGAAGGACAAGAAACAGAAGAAGATCGCAACGCTGGCACATCCCCACGCTCACACATGGGACGCATGAGTCTTGGTCGCCAAGTCCAAGCTGCAGGAGAAAGAGCTCGACCCTCCGCAGATGGCGAGCCTGGACGCATACATTCAGAAGATGAAGAACAACAGCCCCGAATCCAAGGATTACCTGCACGCGCTGATGAAAGAAGTTCGCTACGCCAGGTGCTGCAATACCTACGACAGAAAGATCAAGCGCCTCGAGGTGAACACGGCCGCAGGCACCCCGAGCACCACGATATTCGAGAATATCATCGCACCAACCCTGCTTCGCGGGGGATCTCGAGCGCAGGACCCAGAACGCGATCGACGAGATGGAGACGTGAACCCTGCTGCCGATCTTCCAGGCACTCGCCGCCGCTGCCAGTCGAGACAGGCCCCCCCCCCTTCGCCCCCGTTCCTCCCCCACCCCCCTTATCAGTGTGACCGATGGCACTCCAACCGTTCCAGCTCGCTCGTCAGCGATTCTTCGAGCGCTCGAGTCCGGAGTTTCAGAATGAACAGGAGTAAGATTTGTGTGCGCTCGCGCCACAGGTGCGAGTGCACGGCGTTCGCGGCCCCTCAGATTCGCATCGTTGTCGGGCTTGCGTAGACTGTCGTCGGTGGGCCTTGCTCGTGTCGCTGCCCGTTCAGCGTCGCTTCTCTGAGCGTTTCAGCCACTGTGCAATGAATCTCGCCACAGGCTTGTTCACAGACATTCGAACAAGCGCTCTTGTGAGTCGTTATTACTACCTCCTCCTCCTCCACTTCCTCTTCCTCCTCCTCCTCCTCCCCCTCCTCCTCCTCCTCCTCGTCATCCTCCTCCTCCTCCTCCTCCTCCTTCTCCTCCCCCTCCTCGTCCTCGTCGTCGTCCTCCTCCTCCTCCTCCTCCTCCTCCTCCTCCTCCTCCTCCTCCTCCTAGCGAAACGGTAGCAGGGATAGGTAGTTGCGCAGCTTTCGCCTTCACTACCACCTGAAGAAAAGCCTGGCCTCGACGCGGCACTATTGCCGGGGAAGGGGGGGCCAAGCATCGCTGCTTCCGCACAGGCGCACGTGCATCGTTGTCTGGGAGCCCGTGCATTGGGCGACCGTGCACGGCGCAGGTGCACAGGTAGAGATAGCCGGCGACATTCGTCACCAATTGGATCACTGGCCTTTGGAAGTGCAAGTGCGACGTCTACGGCTCTTTGTTCGGAGCCCCGCAACGTGGCATCGTTGGGCTTGTGGAGACCCGCAGCGCTCTCCCGCGCTGCTGCGGTGCGGAACGGGCCCGTCGCTTGCTCCGCGAGCTCAACGCAGGGGCCGACGAGCTCGCCAGTCGGCACACCTTCGATTATCAGCAGGTATGACACCAGCGGCTGGCGGCGCAGAGAGGTTGAACTCACTGTTGGGCCACAGACCACGGAGTGAGTGGGAAACCGTTGTGAAGGAGTATTGCCACAACGGCGGTCATATTTTCCCATACTCATGTACCGTTTGGTGCACGCAGTCTATTGCCTGTTTGCTACGACACCGCGGTTACTTGCCATTCGTCCCGCACTCATTTCGACGATAGCGCGTCTCCGAGGGCGGGACGGATGGATGCTGGGTGCTCCACGGCTCTCGGCAGATTACCGCGGGCGCCGTGGTGGAGAAAGATCACGGGTTGGAGTGTCATGTGAAGAGCGGGCGGTGCAGTGGAAACCCACGCCAAGAAACACCTTGCTTACCTCCAGAGTGCCCTGGGCCCCTTCGGGTTCGATAGTTTTGCCATGGAAAGCGCGACGTTCCCACCAAAAATCAGTGGACGCCGTGGGGTCTCAGGGTTGGGTATTTTGTCTTGCGGTCGAGCTCCCACTGTAAGGTGACGGCGATTGAGATGGAACCCTGCGTATGGGCCACTGCATATTCAGACGGTGGTACGTAAGATCCCTAAAATTGCGCAGTTCGATCGTTCTAGTGGCTCCTTGGTGCTTCTGTCGCGCGCGCGCTCAGACATGGGCCGTGCCGCCCGCGAGGTAAAGTAAGGGGAGAAGGGAGGATGGAGGGAAGGAGGCAGGGAGAAGAAGGAGCAGGAGGAGGAGCATCGATCATCGAGCCCACAAGGTCAGAAGGACGAGGAGGAGGAGGAGGAGACAGGGAGGACGCCCCAGGCCACTCCTTCGAAAGCCTCATTCCCCTCCTCACTGCACCCCTCATCCTCCCGCTCCTCTGCATTTTCTTCGCATGCATCTCTCGCCGCATTCTTGATACGTAGCTCAACCACCAACGCCGCAGCCCTCCAGGCCGCTTCGTGGTGTTCACCGCGCCGCACAGGCTTGGCCTCGAGGACCCCCGGCGGAGTTGGAGGAGGCGCGGGCAGATGAAGAGAGCAGCGGTTGCTTTCAGAAGGGGAGGGGGCGAAGGAGGGCAGAGACCGAAGGCAAGGGGGAGGGTGGTCAGTGCTGCTGCCGCCGCATCCCGACCGGTGGAGGTCCCTTGGGCCTCGCTTAATGTGGGGGCGATGAATGGGCGGGGGGGGGAAGCATGGTGCACTTCTCGTGCCGTAGAGGCCCCCTTGTGGGCCCTTGAGGGGTCCTGGAGGGCTCCTTGAGGGGCCATAAGGGGCCCCTTCGTTCGCTGCCCCCTATTTACTTGGCATCGCTCGAACGCGTGCATTTTTCAAGGACCATCGAGGAGAAAATTTGATCATCTTGCGAGAGAACAAAATACGCACTAAATCGAATAATGCACGTGGAATGGAAGTCCGAGCGATGGCAAGATTTTATCGCCCCCCCAATACGCGACGCCCGCGTCCCGCAAGGGTCCCCGGAGGCTCTGGAGGCCTCCCCGGAGGCCCGCAGGGGCCGAAGATGTCCGAAGGCCTCCCCCCTGCCGACCTTCGAGGGTCAAGTGCAGCACGTGGCATCAGCAGCAGCAGCACACGGAGGAAGGTCAGGGGCGGCCTAACCGACCCATAGCAAACCATCCCCTCCGCCTCCTCCTCCTCCTCCTCCTCCTCCTCCTCCTCCTCCTCCTCCTCCTCCTCCTCCTCCTCCTTCTCATCCTCCTCCTCCGCCGCCTCCTCCTCCTCCGCCTCCGCCTCCTCTTCCTCCTCCTCCTCCGCCTCCTCCTCCTCCGCCTCCTCCTCCTCCTCATTGCTCCTCCCCTCGAGAGGCCCCTCGAAGTCTGGTGGCCTCGAGGGCCCTTCGTGGCTCTCCCTGGCCCACCCGCTACGCGGCATCCCCATCGCCTCGCCCCAAGGCGTATGTGTGCGGCTGGAGGGGAGCTCGCAAGGGCGAGGGCGGCGTCACGGGAGGGGATTGTTTGCGAGGGGTCGGTTAGGCGGGGGGGAAGGCAAGGGGGCGCGGAGGAGGATTCGGAGGCAGAGGGGGAGCGAGAGCAGCAGCAAGAAGGCAAGGGGGGAGGAGGGGGAGAGGGCAGGGGGGAGGAGCGAGGAGCGAGGAGCAGGAGGAGGGAGATCGAAGAAGGCAGGGAGGAGAAGGAGGGTAAAGATGAGGAGGGGTGAGACGGACAGGAGGGAAGGGAAGCGGGAGAAGGAGCAGGACGACGACACCAACGCGGAGACGTGAGGAGGAGGAGGAGAAGTGAGGAGGAGGAGGAGGAGAAGGAGGAGAAGGAAGGCAGCAGCAGGATGAGGCGGAGGAGGAGAGGGACGATGGTGGAGGGGACGAGGAACAGGAGGAGGTGGAGCAGGAGGAGGGACCACCAGGGACACTGACCACGGAGACGACGGCGACGACGGCAACGGCAGCGTCCGCGGCGGCTGCGAGCGGCGGGGAACCTCGGCGAGCGGTCCCCGCAGCCGCCCGACGCCTCGGCACGGCCGCGGCCCGGGGGGGCCTCGCGCCAGGCTCCCCGTCGTCGTCGTCGTCGTTGTCGCCGCCACCGCCGCCGTCTTGTCGGACACAACTGGGATTAAGTCGGGCGTGCCCCTCTACAGGGGGACGATTCAAAAATAGTCTGGAAATGCTCCGGCACCAATTGTTTTTAGTATGTTTGGTTATTGATTGAGTACTGTTGGTGTATATTTAAGTTGTCCAAAATCCGCCTGTTAAGGGACATGCCCAACCTAAAACTAGGACCCCGGGTAAGGGGAGAAGATTAGTGATTGGGCCCCGAAGCCTAAAAAAATAGCCAGAATCACTACAGCCAAGACGTTGAAAGAAGGACCGCGTTGGGCTTGAGAGGGGCTACGATATTCGGGCCGTTCCTTAGATCGAGGTCACGGAACCCATTCGTGGCCAAGGCTCCCCGTGGCGAGAAAAGCCCCTTCGTTCCGTATTCGGCGTTCCTTCTGGTAGCTCGATGACTGTAAACCAGGTCTGCTTCAGTTCGTGTTTCTTCGGGTCGCGGCAGTACTGGTCAGCGGTGGAATGGAGCGGGGGGGGGCGTCCCCTGGTACACATCATTAGACCAGGTCCCACTCATCCGACCTTGGCCGCCGTCGTCGTCTCCGTGGTCTCCGTCGCCGCCGCCCCGCGTTTTGGTTCGTCCCGGATCCGGTGACAGGCCCAGGAGGCCGAAGCCAGGAGAAAGCAACAGCAAGAAACACCGGGAGTCGGACAGGGCTGGGACGAGGACGAGTCCGTCCCAGAACGTTCTGGAACACCCATTGAGCTCTTGGCGTTACAATGTTTTTGAAACGGGCGTGTTCGCCCAGTTTCGAGCCCTGGGACCCTCACGGATCCATCCAGCTCGAAAAATGCCGCGCAAAGCTGGGGTCGGGGGCTCTGGTAGTGATTTTCTGCGATGTGGCAATTTTTTCGCAACGTCGGATCTCAGGGGCTCCCCGAGCACTGCAGAACGTTCCGGGAAGGCCACGGCGCCCGAGACGTCTTCCAGAGACGCCAGCGGGGCAGCGAGGGTTGCCGAAAGGGGCCCTCCTGGGCTCCTGAAAGGGGCCCTTTCGGGTCCCAAAAGGGGCCTTTGGGGGCTCGAAAAGGGCTCCTCTCCCCCCCCCAGTTATCGCGCCACCATGGATTCGCGCCCAGCTTCATCCTCACCCGAATTTCTCCTCGTCCCAGCTTCGTCCTGGGGGGCGGGAGAATGAACCTGGCGCGATCCACATTAGGGGAAATATTCCTATTGCATGGGCGCAGTGCTTGGCACTGCTTGGCACTGCTTGGCATTGCTTGGCATTGCTCAGAATACGAGGCACCAGGGGCGAGAAATCCAGGGAACCCGAGGAACCTCCGAGGAACCTCCGAGGAACTGGCAACGTACCAATAGGAAGCACCGGGGGCGGGGAACCCAGGGAGAACCCAGAGAAAACCCGAGGAACCTCCGGGGAACGGGCAGAGTAACACCAGGAAGCACCAACCTTTAACCAAGTAAGAACCCCTTAGGCTCATTAGTCCTGTTGGGGAGAAGCTCCTCTCCCTCCTCCTCCCCCTCCTCCTCCTCCCCCTCCTCCTCCTCCTCCTCCTCCTCCTCCTCCTCCCCCTCCTCCTCTTCCTCCTCCTCCTCCTCCTCCTCCTCCTCCCCTGCTCCTCCTCCTCCTCTTCCTCCTGCTCCTCCTCCTCCTCCTCCTCCTCCTCCTCCTCCTCCTCTCCTCCTCCTCGCTTTTCTTCTTCTTCGCCGCCGCCGCCGCCGGCGAGCGGCGCGGGGGGGGGGGCCCCGGCGGGGCGAGCGGCCTCCACAGAGCTCGCCCCGCCGGGGGCGCGGCTGCGCGCGGCGGGCCGCCCGCCGCCTTGTGAGAGGACCTCGTGCACGGCGAGCTGCGGCGCCGCCTGGCCGAGCTCTCCGAGGCCGCCCGGGGGGGGGCTCTTCGCTGGGCTACTGCAGGAGGAGAAGGGGGAGGGGGAGGAGGAGGAGGAGGAGGAGGAGGAGGAGGAGGAGGAGGAGGAGGAAGAAGAGGAGGAGTCTTGGGGGCTTCCTGGAGGTCCCTGGGGCACGTTGGGGGCGTCTTGGAGCCGAAGGTTCGAAGTGTCCGATCCGGTTTGGGAGCCTATGGGGCCGTCTTAGGGCGGTCTTGGAGGCATCTTGGAGGGTCTTCCGCGCCGTGAGGGCCGAACCATCCTATATCGAAGCCGATTGGGGGGCCTCTTGGGGCGCCTTGGGGCCTCTTGGAGGCCTCTGGGGAGCCTCTTGGGGCCTCTTGGGGGCCTTTGAGGGCGTGTGCTTATTTCTTTGTGCCTCCCTGTGCCCCTTTGCCGAGGGGCAGCTGCTCCCCACCCCCCTCGAGGTGCCTCGGGGCGTCTCGAGCAGGCCGGGCGCTCGGGGCCCCGCTGTGCTTTCCAGGACGCTGTGGCCGCCAAGGCTTAGGTGTTCTCATCGTAGCTAGGGACCACTTGCTGCTCGATACTCCTCCTCCTCCTCCTCCTCCTCCTCCTCCTCCTCCTCCTCCTCCTCCCTCCCCCTCCTCCTCCCCCTCCTCCTCCTCTTCCTCCTCCTCCTCCTCCTCCTCCTCATCAGCATCAGCATCATCAGCATCAGCATCATCATCATCATCATCAGCATCAGCATCATCATCATCATCATCATCATCATCATCATCATCATCATCAGCATCAGCATCAGCATCATCATCATCATCATCATCATCATCATCATCATCATCATCATCATCATCATCATCATCATCATCATCATCATCATCATCATCATCATCATCATCATCATCATCATCATCATCATCATCATCATCATCATCATCATCATCATCATCATCATCATCATCATCATCATCATCATCATCATCATCATCATCATCATCATCATCATCATCATCCGCAGAGCCCGATGCAGCAGAGGCTCGCGGGCGTAAGTGCATTCTCTTCCCCCAGGGCGCACCCCACAAAGCCCCGAAACAATGCCTGCCCGGCACACTGGGCGAGGTGTCGAACGGACACCGCCTCCCAGGGCCCGACACGCGAAAATCGTCCAGGTTCGGTACTTCCTCGGTGCTCGAAATTCTTGCTGGTGGTCCAGGCTACGGTAGGTTGGAACACTTACAAGCCAAGGCCAGGATTCCCTGCGAGATTCCAGCCGAAACCCACCCCTGGAGAGGCCTCGCTTCCAGCGTTCACTCGGCGCTCGGGGCTTCGCAAACGAGGGCTTTGCCAAACTGGAACTTGGGCTTTTACATATGCCCGCGTTTACTATGCCCCCGTCTACGGCGCCCAGGGCCCCCTAAACGGGAGCATAGCCAAACGTGGAAATCGGCGTTCCCCGTGCTCCCGTTTGCTGTACCCCCATCTTTGGCGTCCACTCGACGCCATCCAGTCGCAGGTAGCCCGAGGAGGTGGAGGAGGAGGAGGAAGAGGAGGAGGAGGAGCAGGACGACGACGCCGAGCAGGGAGGAGGAGAACAAGTATCACAAAAGACGTTGCGCATCGATCGTGGAGGAAAGGGGGGAGAAGGAGATGGAGGAGAAGATGGGAGGGAGAAGGAGGAGGCGGAGGACACCGACGCAAAGGAGAGGGATGAGAGGAGGAGGAGGAGGAGGAGGAGGAGGAGGAGGAGGAGGAGGAGGAGGAGGAGGAGGAGGAGGACGATGAGGGAAGAGGACAGGAGGAGGGGGAGGTGGCTGAAACGGAGGAGGATGAGGAGGAGGGGGACGACGACAGTGAAGAAGAATAGAAGGCGGAGGTCGAGCAAGGTGGAAGGAGGGAGGGGCAGGTGGAGGTGGAGGATCGGGGTCACGAGGCGAGGAGGCGGAAGAGGAGCAGGAGGAGGAGAGCGGGAGTGGATGAGGCACCCAGAGGCCGAAAATGACCAGAAACATTCCGTCGTGATTCTTCTCGCGGCGCGAGCAGGTCTGCGTGGAAAAGGGGGGGAGGACGCGGAGGAGCAGCGGCCGAGGGCCTCGAGGGGAGAGGGTCGAAGGAAGATGACAAGGCGTGCCTACATACAACGCCTCGACTGTAAGCTATTGGAGGTGCGCGCAGACGTGTCGGATCGGTGCTGGCCCCCCCCCCTGGCGGGCGGAGCGCGCCAGAGGGCGGGTCCAGCGCCGATCCGAGAGATCCGCACGATCCCCTGGGTCCAGAATGCGAATGTTTGGATCCATGGGTTTCTTCACACGGGAAACTGGATCCGCGCAAGACAGAAATAGTATCCACGACATTGTCGCACACCCGAAAAGGGACCCAGTTGGATACATCGGCGTTCTCATATCTTTAGTCCGGAAAGAACTTTCGGCCTGGGGATGTAGTCATGCCGTCTTCTGCTCCTCCAGGGGGGCCGCCGAGGTCGTTGGGGACGAGGCCTCGGAGCACTTGTGGGCCCACGACGAGCCAGACGGGGCGGAGAGCATGCCCTGCGCCACAGGTGCCCTCGCGGCCGGGGCCCCGCGGGCGCGCGCGCGCGTCGGTTGCGGCTCGGCAGCGGTGGGTCCAGATGGACTGCACAGATTTGCCAGCCCTCGCCCAGCTTCCGAGTAAGAGTGACCTTTCGCCGGAGAGGCCTCTGGCGCGGGCCCGTAGGAGTCCCCCGCGGCCGCTGCATGCCACACCCGTACCCCCCTTGGTCGGCCCCCCCCCACACTTCAAGGCTCTGGGCTGAAGCCGCGCACCACAGGTCACTCTTGCCTGGGATCGCTCCTGCGTGTAGGCGACCAGCGCCCTGGTCCAGTGAACACGGTCGGCACCTCTGGTGCTGTTTCCACGCCCAGGGGGCCCGCCCAAAACTGCCCGGGCGGGAAGGAAGCGCTCCCGGGGAAGATTGGGCCGAGGAGCCTGGGGCCCACGCCTTTATCTGGATGAAGACCACGTGTGCCTGGCGAGGTTTTGACTCGCACCACGGGGAGCTGGGCGAATCTTCTCATCGCCGATCTGCGAGGAGGAAAGTGAAAACCACGGCGTCGGAGGTCTGGGATGGGCAGTGGCGGCTCATGGCAGGCCAATCCGTTCGTTTCGAGCGTGCTTCGACGTCGCCGACGCCAAGCTGCATACAAGGCCGAAGCGCTCTAGGGGCAGATCGTCCACACATTGGGGCCAGTTTGAGATTTTGGTTTCTCTTTGTTAGTGTTCCATCCGCGTCCTTTTTTGGACCGAATTCTGTTTCGATCGTGGATCGATTGATTGATTCGGCGCTTTTCGAGGGCCGAGGGATTGTTTTCGAGGGGCCTCGAAGGTTTTCGAGGACCCTCGCATGCTTCTTGCTCGATCGCGTCTTTCTGAATTCCAAGTAGCTTACGATGGCCATGGTTTGGTTCTGTTCGATCTGGCCCAGTGTGCGTTCGGGTCGGTTCGGCTAGTCTGGTTCAGACCGCAGCTTGGTTCGATTTGGCCGGTATGACTCGAGTCAAGCGACCGGTCAGGTTCGGCTATTTGGCTCGGTCGTCTTGGGGCGGCTCAGGGCAGTCGAGGGGTAGGAGAACGAGAAAGACGAGTAACGAGCAGAAGGCAGGGGAAGGGAATACGAGGAGGATGATCAGGATGGCGCGGCGGATGAGAAGGGGCCCCCCTTCGGCTGATGCCTGAGGGTCAAATGTGCTCTGTGCGTTTGACCTTTTCAGATCCGCCAGATCCGCCAGAATGCGGAGGAGGAGGAGGAGAAGGAGGAGGACCGCCTCGGCGAGGGCCAGGCCAAGCGCCTCGGTTGAGTTACAGTTCTCGTCCTTCGCTCGGTTCGCGGCCATCGTGTAGATTGTCTCACCCACTACGGAGGCGCACGACGATTGGTTTGATCGTCCATAGACGCTTTGATATACCGGCAAAAGTCATACATGCTGGAAGTACTGAGTTTGTTGCCTCAGATGTTCGCTACCAATAGCAAAGACGGCGTTAGCATAACCATTCATCAGTGTAGGCCCTCCTGCTATGTTTATCTTCTTCGAATCAAGCGGTCACAGCAATGATTATATGATGACCGATCGATTGTGATGGTAGTAGTGGTGACTGTTTATGACAGGCGCGGTGGTGATGCTGAAGGGGATTGAATTATACGAAGCACCCCAATCTAGACCTCGCCGAGAGGTATCGGTGTTCGCATGTCGTGTCGCGCGCGATGCGCATGCGAATTTAAACGCGAGTGTGATGGTTGTCAGAGTTTGCGGAGCCAGTTTGTTTATTTTGCTTCTTGAAGTGGTCCTGATCTTGTCGGCAGGGCCGCGGGGTGTCCCGCCTTGTCGATGTCCCGGTGGTGTCCCGATGGTCTTGGTGGTTTGCCGATGGTGTCCCGATATCGTGTCGATGGTGCCCCGCTGGTTTGTTAGTAGTGCCCCCTGTGATCCCCACATCCAAAGTGGGCTTTTTGTTTTCTCTGGAGACCCCGGGCAGGAGCCTCACCACCATCCCCTCTTCCTCTCATCCGCATCACCATCACCATCACCATCATCATCATCATCATCATCATCATCATCATCATCATCACCATCATCATCATCATCATCATCATCATCGTCATCATAATCATCATCATCATCATCATCATCATCATCATCATCATCATCATCATCATCATCATCGTCATCATCATCATCATCATCATCGTCATCATCTTTACCATCATCATCACCATCATCACCATCATCATCAGCATCAGCATCAGCATCATCATCATCATCACCATCATCATCATCATCATCATCATCATCATCATCACCACAGGTGCCGTCATTGCCGAGCGCTCCGCGCACCTGCAGGCCTGCCGGCGACGATCGGCATCGCGGACGATTGGTACATCGCCGCGCAGGCGTCCGCCACGCTGCGGACCCTCGGCGACTTGCAGCCGGCCCTGGCAGCCGAGAACCAGCGCCTCGCTCCCGGGAAGTGCGCTGCCTTCCTGCTTGCGGTCGACGGCGGACTGGAGCCGCTGAGCCGGCACGGTGCGGAGCTCTGCCAGCTCGCGTCGAGGTCTCTCGGTGGCTTTGGAGGCCCTGGGATCGGCCTTGCAAGGCAGATGCGTCACGACGACTCGCGGCGACCACGCCGCCGTGCTTGCGGAGGGGCCAGCGGACGCTCGGGCGGAAGACGTCCGCACCTCGTGCGCCGCCTTGCTGGACATGGTCCGCTGCCGCCCCGACCCACGGGCGTGCCATGCTGCGTATACGCTGCTGGCGAAGAGCGTTGCGAGAAGGCTGGATTACGATATGCGACTGTGGCCACCCAGGGCGCTACTGTCAGCCTTGCAGCGAGCTTCGGACGCAGTGCACACGGTGATGGGGGCTCTCGCGGGACAGCAGCTCGGCCCTGACTGCGCGGCCGTCGCCTCAGTGCACACCTTCCTCGGGGCCTCGGGATGCGGCCCATGGATCTGGCGCACGTGCAGGCGGCATTCTGGGCGCGCCACGTCTCCGTTGAGGCGGACGTCCTGACGTTCTCGGCAGGTTTCGGACGCCCTCTCGCCACCCACCCGGATGCGCCGGCAGCGGGCCGCGCGCGGGGCGACCTCGACTCCGCCGGTATCTGCATGCGCCTGGGCCGCATCGCCTTCACGGACGAGGCGCGGCTCGAATATGAGGCGGGCCCGGGGGCCGCCGAACTCCCCACCGAAGCTGTCTTCGACTTCTACGCGGAGGCGGACGACATGGCTGGTTCTCCTGTGTCACTGCTGGCCGCCAGCCAGGACCCAGAGGCCGAGGGGCGCGCCCACGGCGGCCGGCGGCGGCTGGCTGCGCGGGCGTACTGGGATCTGGCTGCCCTCGCGGCGGGCGCGCTTGCTTGCAGGTGGCGTGGTGGGCACGGGCGCCTTCTGGAACGGTTTCATGCGGCAGGGCGAGGCGGTGCTGAGCGATTCTGCGTTCGTCGTCATGTTCCGACGCCGTCTGCTGCTCGATTTGTTGGGTGCCCCGACAACGTGCGCCTTCGAGTGCTCCTGGCACGCGGCCTCTGGCGAAAAGGGCCAGCGGGGCGCGTGCGGGCGCCCCCTGGACGTCGCTGGCTACTACGCTTTGTTTCGCCCAGTCGGGCCGCATCGCAGCCGGCCTCACAGTGAGGTCGTGCGGGTCCTCGCCGAGTGGATCTCCTCCCACGGCGGGCACGTCGGCATCGAGCGCTGCGCGCCCGAGTTGCACCGCAGGCACGACGGCGGCGTCATAGAGGAGGCGCGGCTGGACCTGGTCGTCAACTGGCCGGGCGTCCCGGCACCGGCGTGGGTCGACGCCGCGGTCCGCTCGGCCGCGGAGTCGGGGCCAGCGGAGCGGCTGGTCGGCCACGCAGCGGCGGACGCGGAGCGCCGGAAACGCGACCGCTACGGCGCCGCCGTCTGGCCTTTCGTCGCGGAGGCCGAGGGGCGCCTGGGCGCGGCGGCGCAGCAGTTCATCGCGGCGACCACGGCTGCGGCCCGCCGCGCAGCGACGCTGCCCGGCGAGCCGGGTGGGCAGCAGGGTGCCGACTATGCGCGGCAGATCGCTTCGCGGGTGTCCGGCGCGCTCGTGGCGTTCTTCGCCGACCTGCTCCTGGCGGCGGCGCCAGGCGCTGGGCCGCTGGGGGTGCGGGCCGCGAGTGCCTAATTTGTCATGTTAGATCTGTTGCGCTATCAGACGATACTGTTTCGCGTTTCAGGGGGCTCGGTTGTCATCATCATCATCATCACCACCAACAACAACAGCATCATCATCCGTTGCCATTTTGGCACAAGTGCTCGGGCGCCCGCGCCGCGCCGCGCCCTCCCCGCGCCCCGCCGCGCTGCCCGGCACTGAAGCCTGGCAGCTTCTGCTGAAGCCGCTCACGGCGACCATCCTCAAGAACTCGATCGGCCTCTACACGTTCACGCTCGCGCTGACCCCACTGACAGCATGGGCGATCCCGCAGCCGCTGCTGCTCGCGAGGGGCCGGGATCACGGAGCCCGCTGCGGCAACAAGGAGACGGCCCCGACGCTAACGCGCCGCCGCTCCTTGCCACCAGAAACTTCGTTCAGTAACTTCTCGACGATCTCGAGCAGAAGCAGAATGACTCCCTCCAAAAGTCGCTTGAGGGCTTCAGCCGCTCACAACGCGAACACGCCGTGCAGCGACTCAAGACTTGCGACGCTCAGCTGCAAAAGCACATTGTGGAGATCACCCTACGCCAGAACAACATGGACAAGCAGCTCAGCGACCTCACAAGCGATTCGAAGAGGAAGTACAACATCCTGGAGAAGGAGCTCGCTGACATCAAACGGCCCCTCAACCTCGCGGAGAAACGGGAATGGCCCACTCCCGACGAGCTCGCATAGCTCGGCGACGACGGGTCAAGGCCCGCTGCTCCGGCTACGCCGCCAAGACGGCCGTCTGGGGCTCGTTCTCCGAGCTTCTCAAGAACGCCAATATCGGCGACGACCAGGCCTCCATCTGCGGACCACTGGCCGGGCGCTCCTTCGAGATCCGCTCCAAGGGTTGCAGCGCTGCCATCAACGCCATCCGCGCCTTCTCTGCCCAGAGGAGGGACGGCGAGTGGACTAAACTACAGTGCCCGGCCGCCAACTCGCCACCCCCAACAAGAACCCGAAGACCGAGCGCAACGAGAGCCTCCTGCGCCAAGTGCGCAAAGCCGCCCCCGCCCTGCACCCCGCTCTGGGCGGAAAGCCGCGCATTGCACGTTCCGATGGTATCTTACTCGTCGACTCCGACCCCGTCGCCTGGGCACTTTCCCTTAAGCCCGGCGAGGTCTACTACAATTGGCGGTTCACCGTGCTCGAGTCCCACGAGATCGACAAGGACGCCGCCCTCGGGAAGATTGCCGAGCACGGGAAGGGCCGCTTCGCGGACATCACGTGGGGCGGGCAACAGATCGTGGGACCCTGCGGGGGCCTCTTCCGCCGGCGTCGGTTTTGCTTCTGGGAGTGCCCAGGCCTTCTACGCCAGCAGGCACTACCAGCGCAAGGGCAAAATCGACTTCCTCCGGCGTCTCCTCAGGACGAACACCGCCATCCTCATTGCCGAAGCCCACGGCACCGCCGAGGCCTTCCCGACGCGGCGCGCGAATGGCGGATCGCAGGCGCACCCGGATCCCGGAGCTCCGGTGGCGCCATCGCCATGGCACGGAAATCTTGGGCCCTCGCCAGAACCCTTCCCTTGCGCGACGCACTCGCAGAAAACAGAGTCGCTCGCATTCTTGCGAACGCCGGCAACTACACTTGGACCGCCTGGGCCGCCCACAATTTCAACGTCAACGACCGCGACTTCGCTGACATCAAGAACCTCGCAATCGCTGACATTGCTTCTGCCGGGGCCGAACCCCCTCTCCGAGTCCGTCTGGCCCCTCGGCGACTGGAACTTTATAGACGAAGATGAGCGCGTTCAAGTTGTCCGGGGCCCCCTTGCCCCTGAGCGCCACCGTTCTTCACGGCGCGTTCCAACCTGGAAGCACCTCGTTGATCTCTGCGCGGCTCACGATATTCGAGCAAACTCAAAGGATGTCTCGAGCGAAAGCCTCGTCTGTGAGCGAAGTTCAAGGAGAACTCGAGCGGGGGCCCACTTCTTGCGGGGCCTCCACCCCACGTTGGTAATCCGAGGCGGCCATCGGGAGACTGGGAGCTTGAACCCAGAGGAACTCTCAAGTGGGAGCCTCGTTCCTGAGCAAATTGGGAGGATGTCTCGGGCGATCGTCTGGATTTGAATCGCGAGGAAGTCTCGATCGGGAGCCCCTCTCTACGGCCCCCCCACTTCATGTCATGAATCCGAGACGGTCGTTGGGATCCCATGTAAAGGCACAGGGTTGGTGACACCTGCGAGTTTGAATATCGAAAGAGTTGCGAGCTTGAGCCTTGTTCCTTTGTCGAGCGTCCTTTGTAATCCGAGGCAGTCATCCTCAATCAAACCTTAATCAAACTTGCAGATACCAGGCAGGAAGAGAGCTTCCGTAGTCACAAGGACGACGATGAGGATTATTTCCAGATTAGTTTGGGATATTATTATTTGGGGTCCTGCCATCGAAGGAATATCCTAGTTGTTTTGCGAGAGTCCTATGCGGCTTGCGATTGATATGCGACGATATCCCGATGGAGTTCCGATCATTTGTTGCATGGGTGTCTCGATTGTTCTGCGATGGCGTCCGTTGGTTGCTGGCCCCAGGGCCCGAAGTGCCCGAATGAGTACCGAGGCGTACGGTGTTTTGATGTTTCCAGTGCGGGCTCCCCCGAAGTCCCGACCTCAGGGCGGGATGTGCATCCCGAGTCGTTTTTGACGGGCCAGAAGCTGAAAAAGGACAAGCAGTTCCCGTCTTGATATGTTTCGCGCGACGCGACTATGTTTGGGCATCCAGAGGCTGCAGCCTCAGGGAAAATTGGCCGTCCCAACGCCCCTGAGGTCGGCCGGGGGTGAGAGGCCTACATGTTTGTGGAAGTCGAAGTGGCTGTCCAACCAAAACATGAGAGAGTTGCATGTTTTGGGATGTCGAATGCGAATTCCAAGTAAACCTGGGAGATTTCGTGCATTTGGATGTCGGCTTCAACGTCATGGAACGAAACATTACGGAACTGCGTGTTCTTGGAAGTTGAATTGGACGTCCAAGAACACGCAGTTCTCCGCCCCACTCCGCCTCCGGCCCCGTCGTCGACGATGTTCGTCCGATGTTGCACCGTAGGCAAGTTGGCCCGAAGAGCCCCTAGGGGGCGAAACGCGTAGCCTTTTGTCTCTTTTGGTTTCAGAATTGATCCAAAACAAGTGATCGACGAAATGAAACGGGGTCGTCTGCGCCGACATCCGCGCGTGCGCTGGCAGCCCGCGCAGGCCACCGCGCAAGGTCGCTACGTCACCTCGCGCAAGACCCGCTTCTTTTCGACAGGCAATCTTAGAGACCCAGTTCGACGTCCTCCTCCTCCTCGCCCTCTTCCTCCTCCTCCTGCTCCTGTTCCTGCTCCGCCTCCTCCTCCTCCTCATCCTTTTTCTCCTCCTCCTCCTCCTCATTTTCCTCCTCCTCGTCCTCCTCCTGCTCCTCCTCCTCCTCCTCCTCCTCTCCTCCTCCTCCTCCTCCTCCTCCTCCTCCTCCTCTCCTCCTCCTCCTCCTCCTCCTCCTCCTCCTCCTCCTCCTCCTCCTCCTCCTCCTCCTCCTCCCCCTCCTCCGTAGCCATTTTGGCTCAAGTCCCATGCTGCTGCGGGCCGAGCCCGCATTGGCACCCACGGACACCGCTGGCCCGCGGCGAGCAAGGCCCTTGTGCCTGGCAGTCTTTCTCGTGCGCCTCTGCCGTGGGAGTTGGGCCCCCACACCGCAGTTTCCAGTCGCCTCTCGCATCCGCGGCATGGCCGATGATGCCCACGGTGAGGAGGTCCCCGCGTCGCTGGTCGAGCAGTTCGATCTCGTGGCGACCTTCCCTTCGCAGGAGACGGGCGCTGGCCGCGGGGAGGGCGGCAAGGGCGCCATGCCACCTCCTCGCAAACGCGCTGCTCATGATCACTCTGCTGCTGATGCAGCTGACGGTAACGACGCCTGGTCGTCCGACGACTACCTTCGCCAGCTGTGCCGCGATGAGTTCGACTCCATGCGGGCCGCTCTCACTTCATCCGTCTCCGAGTCCGTCAGGGCCACCGCTGCTGAGAACCACTCGGTGCTGCTGGGATCCATCGACAAACTTCGGGAGCAGGTCTCTGGTCAGTCCGCATCCATCGACCAGCAGGTTCACAGTGTGGTTCGTCCTCAAGTTGACGCCCTGGCTCGCAGGCTCCAGTCGCAGATCGACGAGCACAAGAAGCAGATCGACGCATGTGAACGGCGACTGGGTGATCATGACGACCAGCTCTCTGCTCTTCGTGCTGAATTGGTTGAGCTACGCCGCCATCTTGCCGTCGCTGAACAACGCCCCCAGGCCCCGCCACAGATCCCCACTGGCTTCGACAGAGACGCCGACTCCACCCTCCTCATCGCAGTGGCCCAGCGTGCCACTTCGCTCGAGGCCATGTCCGCCTGCATTCAGAACTTCCTCTCGGAGACGGGCTTCGACTCCAGCGAGTACGAGATTGTCTCCAAGGGTACCCTCCCGTGCAAACGCTTCGCGGTTCACTTCAAAGGGATGGTGCAACCAGCATCAAGAAAAGTCCTACGCGCCCTCTCAGCCCTCAAAGATGAGAACGGGTGGAAGGCCTTCTTCGCCGATCTCCCCGGCCTGTCCGAGCGCACACGTGTCCACATGGGCCCCGACAAGTCCCCGAAGCAGGTCAAGATGGAGTACGTCCTCAGGAAGTGCCGCGCTGCCTTCGCCGCCGAGTTCTCGCCCCTGCGCTTCTTCACAGATCGGGACCGCGGGTTCCTCTCCATCGGCTGGGACAAGATCCTCAAGGTTGAAGTGGAGGCTGGGGATGCTCCTCCTACTCTGCGCTGGGACGTCGCCAAGCTGGAGCGCCACGACATCACCAAGGCTCGCGCCATGCAGCTCACCTCTTTCCTCACGGCCTCGGCGGACGAGCCCGTGTGGTGTCTTTGACGCGCTGTCCCTCTTTTCATATTCGCGGTCCTGTTCCTCGGGTTCGGCCACTGCCTTGCGAGTGGTTTCTTGGAACTGCAGGGCCCTCCTTCAGGCTGCTTGGGCCAAGGCAGCCATCAAGCTTAACTACCTCTCCAAGCTCGGCCTCGACAAGTCCATCGTCTCTCTGCAGGAGGTGCACCAAGACGCCCTCCAGCTGGAACACTTCGTGCATCGGGTGTGCCCGCGATCCACCGTCCTTTCGAGTTTCTGTGGGTCCGAACCTGCTGACCGTGCGCGTGGTGGCGTCGCAGTCCTGATCCCTCCTCTCGCGCATCTTCCTGAGGATCCTGTGCATGTGGAGTCCCATCCTCTGATACCTGGGCGTGTACTGATGGTTACCCTGCGCGCCGCTCGTGCCTGCGTCTACCTCTTCAATGTCCACAACCACGAGCTGGGGACCACTGCCATCACAAGAGTGCGTGATGCTATTCGTACTGCTCTCGCTGAGGCTCGTGCCGAACCACAGCGTGTCCTGGTGATTCTGAATGGGGACTTCAACATCTCGGAGGAGTCCGCCATGTCCCTGCTGGCACCGGTTGCGGCGTCTCGTCGCGGTGGCCGTCGGCACCACGCTGCCGCACCTGCCTGGAGGCCCATCTTCGATGACATGCTGGAGATCCAGGGCAGCGAGCCGACCCACTACGAGCGGGCGGCGGGCAAGGCCAGCATCATAGACCGCGTCTTTCTCTCCTTGCAGGGCTGGCAGGTGCGCCAGATGAATCTCACTTCCGCCACGATGGGGTCGGCGGCGGCGCTCTCGGATGCGAAAATCTCGGATCACACTGCGGTCATCGTCTCTCTTGCGTCCCGCTCCGCTCGTCAGCCTGCTGCTCGCCCTATCCCACGCCGTCTCTGTCGCGACCCTCGCTTTGTCCGACGTCTACGTGGTTTGGTGGCCTCTTCCTCGTGGGATAGCATGTCGCCACCTTTCAAGCTAGAGCATTACAAACATCTCATGCGCCTTGCCGCGTCAGAGGTGCGCGACTCACTCTTTACTGACAATCCCGACAGTCTCGACACTTTGTTGCAGGTGGCACGAATGATTGCACGCGTGGTCTGGAGGCAAGACGTCAAGCTGGCCCTTCGGATGCTGGAATATCATCCTCGCGTCCGTGATCACATCACCGTCCGCTCCTCCGAGGTTGCACTCATCTACCCCTCGTCTTTCTCGGAGTGGGCATCATCCATCCAACGGCAAGCTGCGGAGGTGCGTCGGCGTGCTCTTGAATCCCAACTTTCTCGCCAACCTTCTGTTCGGGCCACCCGTCTTCAGTTGCGTGCGTTGGAGAGGAAGGCGAGGCTCTGGTCACCATTCTCTCGCTCTTTGGCATTGTCGTCGATACGAGTTTCGGATGACTGTCTGGTTTCTGACCCCGTCGAGCGCGTGGAGGCCCTGGCGTCCTACTGGAAACCTGTCTTTTCGCGGAAGTCTTGGGATATCGATGCGGCTCGGGCTTATATCCCCTCCTGGCTCGACCCCGTGAACACCATCGATCTCCCGCCCCCGAACTTGGCACAGCTTCGGCGGGCCCTCCGCGCGGCCCAGGACTCCGCCCCTGGCATAGATGGTCTACCCCACGCCTCATGGGAAGCATTACCTTTTGGTCTTCATGTGTTGATGGATGCCCTCGATTGGATTGGCGATGGCCAAGCCCTCTTCGATTGCTCCTCCATCACTATCCAGGCTTTTCTCCCGAAGCTCGTCACAGACGTTGAGTTGCGTGATGGGGAGTGTACTCGGTCGCCCGACAAGGTTCGCGCCCCTGGCTTGCGGAACACAGACGTCAAGTTGCTGTCATCCGTCATGAATCGTGCTCTCCAACCCCTCATCCATCATATCGCTCCGCCTTGCCAACGAGGGTTCGTCGGTGGTCGCAACTTCGGAGTCAACATTCTGGAGCTGGATGCGCACGCTCGCGAGCTTTCAGTGGCCCCCCCCTGGATCGCTCGACATCCCGCTTCTCTTCTCGCTCGATTTCGGCCAGGCGTTCCCCTCACTCAACCAAGAGTTTATGGCGTTTGTTCTTCAGGTACTGGGGCCCCCTGAATCCTTCTTGGCTTTCGTTTCGTTTCTCTACGCGGCCATTCAGGGCGCGGCCTCGGTGAATGGGGAGTTTGTGCCGATATTCTGGATTCGCAGTGGGATTATTCAGGGCTGTGCGCTCTCGGGCTCTCTCTTCGCCCTCGCTACCTCTGCCTTCCTCAAGGACCTTGTGCTCTCCCTGGAGCCCTCTGGTCGTGGGATAGTTCGGGCCTGCGCTGACGATATTGGTGGTACGACTCGGTCTGTGGCGGACCTCGTCCCTGTGCATCGGGTGATGGTCTTGGCTGAATCGTTTGCTAACCTCTCCCTGAAGCTCTCCAAGTGCCCCCTGGCCCCCCTCTCGGGCGTCTTCTCTGAGGAGCTGGCTGCCGCTGTGGCCGAACAACTTCGTGCATGGGTCCCCGAGTGGGCCTCCTTTGGCGTTGTGGAGGAGCTGCAATATCTGGGGCTCTGGCTTGGTCCCTCTGTGACCGTTGAACGACAATGGCGTGCTCCTTTGGCCAAGATACAGCATCGGGCTCAAGCTATTGGCCGTGGGACAATTGCACACGTGCGGTTCCGACATTATCATATGTCGCCCAGTTCTGCCACATGCCGCTGGTTGTTCTTCGCCTGGAGCTCATGATCTTGGCGCAGGTCTCCCGGGTAGCCTTGGGCACGTTCCCGCTTCCCTGCTGGTCCCTACTTCACGCCTGGGGAGGTCCTCGCATCACGCGCTGGGCCTTCATGGGATGTGCGGCGCTTGCCCGTGCAGCCCTTCATACGTTCCCGCAGTTCTACGACATCCACAATCGGCTTCGACATCATGTGGCTACTCATCCTGATTGGTGCACCCTGGAGATGGTTGGTTCTGGCAGATGCTACCCGCACTTCTGGCGCTCGGAGGCGTTCGTGGAGATCCTCCAGCGGGCTGCTGCTGGTACCCGCACTGGCTCACCGTCACCGTGCTGGTCTCCTGACTGGCCATCTGTGGCTGCGGTCGCGGCGCGCGCCGCGCTGGCCGTGGATGCAGCCCATCGTCCTCGCCCTCAGCGTGCTGCTCATGCTGCTCTACGTGCTCTTGGCCCTGCCATCTCGCCGCTGGTGTCCCTGCTCCAGACGCGCCTTGCCAAGCTGCTCCCACGGCACGCCTCTCTGGTCACCTCCCTCCCGTGGGACTCAATCGCGAGCACGTTGGCATCCTGCCCCTGTTCCTGGGCCTGGGCTGCGCTTCGTACCTGGGCTGACGGTTGGATGACGTCGTACCGCATCCTGCACCCTCTTGGCAAGCGTCGCTGCGCCTTCGGGTGTCCTGGCTGCCCCGACGCTCTTCGACACTACGCCCGTTGCCGCCCCTTTCACCACGCTCTTCGTCGTGCCCTGGCGCGCCCTCTACCTCTGCCTGTGCTTCATCGATGGGGGCTGCTGGAGCCGAATCTGCCCGCCTTTCACTTCCTCGCAGTCGCGTACGCCGCCTACAATGCAGCCAAGTGTGTGGAGGGATGGCCGCTTTCGGCTGAGTCCGCCTTCTCCTGTGCTCTGGCTGGGGCGCGCTCGGCGGCGTTGGCTCGCCCAGTTGGGATCTCGGCCCGTGATCGATTGCGGCTTCGCCCGCGCCGTACGTGTCCCTCGCCTTCGTCCTCCTCGGCTTCCTCTACGAGTTCATCTTCGTGTCGCTCGCCGAGGCTGACCCCGCCTGTCTCTGTCTCGTCAAGCCGATCTGCGTCGCCACAGCCGCCGTCGTCTATTGGTGGCCTCACTCCTGCTGTCTCCTCGCCGTCGACGCCCCCCACTGAGATTGCTACCGATCCTGAGGATATTGAGTCGCGTGAGCAGGTATTTCCTTCTCAGATCCAGAGGCGGACCCTTTCGATCTCGATTGCCACTTCGTCGAGCTCGTCGTCTTCGCAGTCCTCATCTGACCGTGACCGCCCTGCTCTTCTGCCTGTCTTGTATCCCTCGCCTGTTTATATGTCTTGCACCTCCTCCAATGCCACCTCCTCGATTGCTGATCGCCCTCAATATGTGTTTGACTCCTCTGGGGATTGTAGTGCCCCCATGATCCCCACCGTGACGGAGTCTGCTGGCCGCCGTCCTCTCTCTCCTCGCTCCCCTCGTCCTCGGGTGAGTCTCCCTGATGCTGCTGCTGCTGTCTCTCCCGACTCTCTTCCCCGCACGCAGCCTGCGTCCTCGGCGAATGCCCCCACGCTTCGGCATGGGCGCGGCAATGGCCGCCTGCCGCCGCGATAGGCAGGTGGGACGAACCTCTCCTACGCTGGTCTCCTCCTCCCCCTCCTCCTCCTCTTCCCCCTCCTCCTCCTCCTCCTCCTCCTCCTCCTCCGCCTCCTCCTCCTACTACCTCCCCTCCCTCCCTCCCTCCCTCCCTCCCTCCCTCCCCCCCCTCCCTCCCTCCCTCCCTCCTCCCTCCCCCCTCCTCTCCTCTCCTCCTCCTCTCCTCCTCCTCCTCCTCCTCCTCCTCCTCCTCCTCCTCCTCCTCCTCCTCCTCCTCCTCCTCCTCCTCCTCCTCCTCCTCCTCCTCCTCCTCCTCCTCCTCCTCCTCCTCCTCCTCCTCCCTCTTGACGTCCAAACCCGCGCCGTTCCCTCGTGGGCGGGCGCCCGCAGCCCTGCGGAGCTCCCCCCTGGGAAGCGCCCGCCCCCGGGGCAGGCTCGCGCCGGATGTCGGCGCAGCCAGTCAGGCGGCCCGCACGCGCGCGGCCGCGCGCTGACAGGGCTCGGGGGAAGCGCCATGCATCGCCTCCCCTGGAGGAGGAGGAAGAGGAGGAGGAAGAGGAGGAGGAGGAGGAGGAGGAGGGGTGGGGTGGAGACGCATTCCGAGCGGGTGGCTCTCCTCGTTTGATTCAAATGGTTAAGGCATGTCCATATGTACCCCAGAACCCACCTCCTCACACGCCTAGCCCTGGTGGCCACTCGTCCTAAAGCAGGACGGGTGCTGGGGCTGCGCAGGAGGAGGGAGCAATAATAAGAAGGGGAGAGGGAGGGGGAGGACGAGCAGGAGGAGGTGGAGGAGAGGGGTGGGACGAGAATACCGAGGAGGAGGAAAAGGCTGAGCAAAAGGGCGAAGCGGAGAAGTTCTTATACTTCCCCGCTCCTCTGGGCTCCTCCCGGCCCCTCCCTTCCTCCCCTGCCCCCTTCTGCCGCACGCGGTGCTGTGTTGTCCACTCGCCGTCCACGGGTATTTGGAATGCAATTGGGGTCGTTGTTTCAGTAGTGATTTTGCTTCGGATAAAAAGCGTATCTGTTCAATCGTCAATGTTGCGTCATATTCGTCGCTTGATATTGTCAATGGTCTGTTTGCTTGAAGTGATCGGCGCCTGTGGAGCGGCCACGGAGATAAAGGGATTGATCAGCACAGTGTTGCAAGCGGGTCCTCCATAGATTGTAAAACTATTCAGTGGTATTCTGAACTAGTCAGCAGCCCTGCAAATGGTCGAGAGTTCCTGTACAAATATGTTATGCCAACCTTCCCCCCTCCTCAAAATGGTGAAGTGGAACACCCTGACTCTTGAGCGGTCCCACTGTGGTGGTCCTCAGGCTACCCATTGACGTCGGAAGGGCGGAGGATGCCTTCGTCTCCAGAGAGGCCCCGACGTAGGATGTAGAGCGCCAGCTCGCAGGTCCCAGCCAGGTACCTCGCACGCTTCATGGCGAACGGGTCCGCATGGTAGGTGATCCATCCTGATTTGCTTGTCACTCGGGGCTGAGAAGCCCAAAAACCACGGGGAATGGTAAGCCTCCACTCAACATTGTGCCGGGCGCGGTCGAACTCGGGGCAGTCATGCCACATGTGCCGGAAAGAAGGACGGGGGTTGTTGCAGAATTTGAAGGGCAAGTTGCATTGGCGTCGCGTGGATGTCGATACTGCACCACCCGGTAGATGGTGAGGAGTTTTTTGTCGTTGTCGTCCCAGTTGTTATGCCGCCACGTAGCGAACACACAATGTGACCATGCGTCGACGTCGACGTTGTCGACCTCTTCGCTGTCGAGTCTGGTCTGGCGTACCTGCTGGAGTCACCGGACGCGCGCGATAGCGCGCAGCACGTGGGCCGCCTTCTTGCTGGTGGCCCTGAAGCGCTGGGTGTTGCGGCGGACCTGTTGGGTCATCCGCTGGACGCAGTGGTCGTCGGTAGGGTGTGAAGAGTGCACTCCCCTGCCCCTCTGCCGCCCGTGCCACCGTGTGCGCATGATGTGCATGCTTTTCATGTTTGTGGCATGCACGCTGCTCGCCGCTGTTTTGGCCCTAGTCCTAGGGCCCTGGGACTGCATCCGCAGTTGGACTGCCGCGCGGTCCGAGCTAAAACAACTGCACTGACATTGGTAGCGGAGCTTGTAAGCTCCAGTGGACGCACTGCGTGCTCTGCTTCGGTGGCTGTGACCACCCGCGCGGGCCGCCATGGCTGCCAGCCAAGACGGCTCAGACGCGGAGGCTGCGTCCTCCGTCGGCGCAGGTCCCCCAGACCTGCACGCGGTCCTGCGCGTGATGGCTGAGACCCAGAGGGAGCTCTTGGCCTTGCATCGGGATCGCGGCGGCGACAGCGGTCCCAGACGCACGCGTCTACTGCTGTCGCAGGTGAAGCTCCCGGAGTTCGACGGTGCCGTCGGTACGAGTACCAAGAAGTACCGGGAGTGGCGCAAGGCAGTTGAGGTCATCCGCAATCTCAACCAGCTTTCTGACGTGGAACTGGGCCTGATCATCTACAGCCAGGTGACAGGTCGGGCCAAGGAGCTCGTCGAGGTGCTTGACGCGTCGGACCTTCGACGCGAGGATACGCTCGAGACGATCTTCGCTATCTACGATGACGCCTTCGAGAAGATGGACCACGAGCGCCTGGACCAGGCGCACCAGGAGTGGGAGCGAGCACACCGTCGAGCAGGGCAGCCCATCATGGATTGGACGACGTACCTTCGGAAGAAGCGCATGGAGTTGCAGCTCGAGGACCCCACGACAGCGATCAGTGATCGCGCGCTGGCGAGCAAGATGCTCCGCGGCGCTGGGCTGTCGCAAAAGGAGCGAGCGCAGGTGCTCTTCAATTGCGGCGGCATCTACCACTCGAAGCGGATGGAGGTCGTGCTGAAGGCAGCCTACTCGAAGGTGCACGACACCGAGAAGCGCTCGGTGCTCCCTCGCCGCTCGCCTTTTGTGGCGGCGCAGCGTGAGCACGGGCGCTCCTCCGGGAGCTCGGGCGGTCGCTATCCGCGCCCTCCCATGGCTCGTAGGCCATGCGTGCTTCGAGGACGCCCTGGCCAGCATGTGCACGAGGTGGAGAACGGTGAAGACTACGATGAACACGACGGCGACCTGGAGGAGGCGCAGCATGACGAAGATGAAGCAGATGACCAGGACGATGGAGACCCCGGAGCTGGCGAGGGGATCATCTTCGAGGACGGCGCCGAGGTCGAAGAGGAGCTGGCGTCGGACAACACCGGGCCTGATGACGAAGAGTACGAGGCGACGGAGGATCTTCAAGAGGCGTTCTTGGCCGGTTGGAGGGCCAAGCAGAAGACGGCAGTACAGCGACAGAAGCGCGGGTTCGTTGCCCCTCGGCAGCGGGACCCCAGGAAGATCAACGTCAGTGGCTCCTTCCAGGCTGGTCGCAAGCCGACGGACCAGCGCAAGGCTAACAGCCTGCGTGCTGACTGCGATCAGCCCGGCCACTGGCGCGGCGACCCGGAGTGCCCCAAGGTGAAGAGTGGCGAGCGCGAGCCGTACAACAAGATCGGGCCTAAGAGTGGCCAGCCAGCGTCGCCCAACCAGCGGAGCTCTGTGAAGCCGCCGGCTCCAAGGCAGGTGCATGGACCGGTCATCCACTGGGTTGGCATGGCAGGCAGTGCCGAGGAGCGTCGTGGCCGCGCCCCATGGCGCCGCGCCCCCCAGTCGGTGCCGGCCCAGAGGCATCCGGTGGAGGGCCGAGCCGATGCTCCAGGGCGGATCGCCATGAATCCCAGACCCAAGAATGCCTGCGCCGAGTCTACGCCGGGACGCCGACGATGGCCCCGGGCCCGCACAGGGCAGCGATGAACGCGCGCGCGCCCTTGCCAGGCGCGGGGAGGATCAGGAGGACGAGGGTGCATGCGTGCGTTGCCATCGCATTCTGGCCAACACCCACCCAAAGGGGCACAGCGTGGAGTTGGATGGAGTTTCCTGACCTTGCCACGGTCCATCACATCGTGGAGCGTGTGACGAACAAGAAGCCCATTTTCTTCAAGCAGGGCCGCTTCGAGGCTCTCGACTTCGTCCAGGGTCGGCCCATGCGTCTGCAGCTGACCACGTCGAAGCCTTGCACGGCGGCCGAGGTGGATCTCGACGAGATCACGGCAACTATGTTCAAGATCGTGATGGGCGGCAATCGCGATACCAAGCCCCGTGACGATCGGCGCGGTGAAGGCGGGAATCGGGGACCTGTTCTCCGCGACGACCGCCACCGCGATCGGGGAGCTGTTCTCCGCGAGCATCGCGCCCCTCCTCCGCCCGAGGCGGAGGCCTCCTCGCGTTCGAGGTCGCGGAGTACACCGGAAGGCCGCGGTGAGAAGGAAGAGAAGCGGAGCACACCGGAAGGCCGCGGTGAGAAGGAAGAGAAGGAAGAAAAGGAAGAGAAGAAGAAGAAGAAGAAGGCGAGGAGCAGTAAAGAAGAGAAGAAAGAGAGAAAGAAGGCAAGAAGCAGCAGGGAAGTGAAGAAGGAGCTTGAGGTGAAGAAGGAGGATGAGGCCAGCGAGGAAGATGAGGCCAGCGAGGATGATAACGATCAGCGGCGTGAGGATAAGGAGCTGCCGTTCACGCCGGAGGAGATGGATGAGATCTTCTGCAGCTGGTATCCGCGCCAGGACACATTTAGGGATTACCTGACGCCGCCGGCAACCATCCACGTCATCACGAAGAACGATCGCATCGTGCGCCTCAACCTCTACACGCGCCGCTGCGAGAAGCCGGACTTCTCTCCAGCCAGTGGCCCCGCGAGGGCCTATCCTGCATTCGCGGTGGATGCCGCAGCGGCGGCGTCGGCGAAGGGGGCATCGAAGACTAAAGGATCAAATGTTCCGGGGGGAACTCCCAGGAACACCCCAGACGGAGCTGCGCCAGGACTAACGTCTGCCGCTCCGACTGGGGAGGCCGCCGCCGCCCCTAAGGACGAGGACTGGGTCATGGCAGGAGCCTCCGAGGACGTGAGGAAGAGCGAGGAGAAGAAACGATTGGAGGTCTTGCAGCGTGACAAAGCTGAGTTGCTGGACCGCCTCGCGCTGATAGAGAAACAGGAGTCGGAGATGCATACCCGATTGAACCCAGGCGAGGTCTACGACGGCCTGCAGAAGCGACGTGCGCAGGCACCTCTGCCAGAGCGTGTCCTGCCTACATCTCCTGAGCAGCAGGGGGTCGGAAGCGCGCGGAAGAACATGGAGGGAGTTCGACGACGTGCTCACCTTCCAGCGCCTCCAGGAGCCGCGAGCTCAGGTGCGCCTGCCGCTGCGACGGCATCTCCAGCCGCATCTGGAGCCCCGCGCGTAGTCACTACCTCTGGAAGGGGCTACGTCATGAGTGCCGGTGCCACGCAGAGCGACCTGGAGAAGCAGCAGATGCACCGGGCCATGTACGACTCGCAGTTCGACGGCGAGAGGCTGGTCCCAGGTCCGAAGGCGAAGTTCGACCCAGAGCTCATGCAGCAGCAGGCTGCGTGTTTTCATC